TCTTGTTCAGATTAGTAAAGTCGACATATAAAATCCACTTTCCGTTGGAGAAAACTACATTCGCCAGCCACTCGGGCTTATTGACTTCTCTTATGAACCCTACCTGCAACAGCTTATCTACCTAGGCTGCTATAGCTTGCTGTCTGTCCAAACCATGATTTCGCTTTTTTTGTTTTACCGATTTGCAACCTGGGTCAATACTGAGCTTGTAGGATATAATGTTGGGGTTGATCCCAATTATATCTCTAACGGTCCAGGTAAAGTTGTTAACGTTACTCGCCAAAACCGTCCTAATATTATTCTGTACCTCCTCTGATAGCTCAGCTCCTAATGTTAAGCATTTCCCTAGCTCCACTTCCCATGTGATCCGTTCGCCCACAAGTGTTGGGCTGGAATCTATAGTATGTTTGGGTATGTCAAAAAGCTGGTGCTTGATTGGCTCTATGGACGATTTACCTTCTAGCATCCACATGATTAGTAGGGAAGAGGTAACCCCTTCAATGCTATCATGTTTGCTTTCCAAGCTATTTTCTAATCTCCCCTCACAGCAACAAATTCGCCCTTATCAGAGTAAAACTTCATAGTGAGGTATCAAATACATGTGGCCGCTTCTAATTCATACAAGGCTGGTCTGCCAAGTATGACATTGTATGGAAAGTGAATATCTGCTACCACGAACTCTGACTTGAGTCTTCTTGATGCTCCTTCGGTTTCGAGTTCTAAAGTTACATCAATGGATCTAGATACTTGTATGAGCTTCCCTGCTAGGCCAACTAGTGGGGTTTAGACAGGCTTCAGCTTTGCTTCAAAGCCTTAAATACTTCCATAGTCAATAGATTGACCACACTGCCTTCATCCACCAAAACTCTCTTTATTAGAAAATTCTCTAAGACTCCCTCGATTATGAGGGCATTATTATATGAAGCGTGCACATGTTCTCCATCGACTTTGAAGAATAAGAGAGGTGGCCTTATGCTTGGTGGTTGTTGGGGCAAAATGGAATAAATTTCCCTCGCTCTCCTTTTCTGAGCTAAGTTGTTGTCTCCTCTTGACGAAACCCTAAAGATAGTGTGGATTGTACCTAGGGTGTAGCATTTTTTTCACCTAATTATCCCTCTCCTCAGTTTCCTTTCGGCCTTTCCCCACAAATTCTGTTAGTTCGCCCTTTTGCGCGAGGCGTTCAATCTTCTTCTTTAACTACCAACAGGCCTCAGTCTCATGGCCAACATCCCTATGGAACTCGCAATACTTGCTCTTGTCTCGGTAGCTTGAGGTATCTTCCTTCATCTTCCTAGGGTAATAGAGCTGTATTTGTTCACCTTGTCTTTTTTACCAAGACAATATCTCTGAGCGAGACCTATTTAGAGGAGTGAATTCTCAATCTGGCTGTGATTTGTCATTTTCTGAATATGGTGTTCTAACAGCAAAACTGGTTCGCGGAATGGAGGGACAATCTCTTACTAGGCTATCTCCTCCTTACTGGAGAAGGGTATCTTCAATGCTTATGCTTCTCCTCTTTAGGTGATCTACGGTGCCGAGCTTCATAGGCTTCGTCCAGTTTGTGTATTTGTGCGCGCATGCCATGAGTTCAGCAAAAGTTAGAGGAGGGTCTATATTTAGGCTTTCAAACAATTTACTGTACGTACAAATCTTTACCATAGCACTGATAGCCACCTCATTATTCAAGTTCTCCACTTGCATCACCATTCTTTGAAACTTGGAGAGATATTGCCTTAGATTCTCTCCCTCTTCTCTTTTCAAGTCAATTAGATCGGATGATATTTTCCTAAATGGTACACTCGTTATAAATCGAGCTCGAAACGCCATGGCTAGTTGAAAATGATTGAATGGACCCTGTTTTAAGTGTCTGGTACCACTCTTGTGCTGCCCCTTTTAGTGTGATAGGAAAAACTTTGCACATGAGATCTTCTGAGTTGGTTCAGAGGTACATCATGGTTCGGAAGGTCGCCAGGTGACTTCAAGGGTCTGTAGATCCGTCATATTGTTGGAAGGTTGAAATTTTGAATTTTGGAGGATTTAGGGTCTCCAAGAGGCATTTTAACACAGTGGTGAACTGAGAGTAGGCTTGAGCTAAGGCTACCGCCACTTAAGGATCAGTTGTAGGTGGAGGGGCCAATATGGTTTGCATAATTGCTTCTTCATGGCCACCGCCCTGGCCTTCCGTGGTAGGATGATTGCCTGAATCGTTAGCCATAACTTTCAAGAGTGAGAATGATCAAAGTTTTTAGGGTGTGAAGGTGTGTTCCACGCTTACCACACCAATTGTCAAGCTCTCAGAAATTGAGTAGTGAATAAATTGTCAATTAAATTTCTTTTTGGTGTAAGTTTGGAGTATATATATTGAAGTCAAAAAAATCTTATATTATTTGCTGGTTAGAGTTTATTTAGGAGTCTAATATCTAAATATATTATTCTTCAATATATTTTATTATTCTATATTATCAATTCTAAATCCAAAAATTGGAGAATTTGAATTATATCTGCACTAATCTTAAATTAATACCTAATAACCTCAAATCAAGCCTTCATAGGCTCTTTGCCTATAGCTTTGGAGCAGAACCTTCTTAGAAAATAAAAATTTGAAATAAATACATAGAGTTTATGACAATGAAATCTAAATGCATGAATAACATGAATAAATACATGAAAATTTATAGCCTCAGTTTGTGTGAGGCCCCAAAACTTTACTTTCTAGCCTTATTTTTATGGTAATAATATAAATTAATCTCTAACAAATTTAATAAATGATACAAAAAAAAGAAAAATTAGAATACAACTTGTACAAATTTTCATTTCTGCGCAACTTGCGACTAGTTCTCTGCTTAGTTACTAAACTATGAACTTATTTCACTTTAAAATTTTTTAATGAAATTCAATGTTCCTTTTCTCGATAGCCTAATATATAAATTGTTTACTCAACTTTTGCCAAAAAAACCTTGTGGCCCTCCTATACTTTAAAAGTGATTTTGTAGCCCCTTAAATTTTATTTTTTATAATAAAAATATATCTGGACAGACTAAAAATGGACGAGTGCATTACACGCAAGATGGCGTGGCTTAAAGGTAGTCCAGTTGGAAAATCGTACAAATTAACTAAATCAACCATATAAATATCTAAAACCAATTTCTAGTCTAAGAAAATAATAAAGTTATTCCATTTCGACAAAACACAGATACATAAAAATAAAGAGAGACATACAGAGAGCTCGAGCTTTCATTCTCTCTCGTATATCTGATTTATTATACTCTCAACTGAAACCTCTACGATCAACTCTCTTTTTCCTCCATAACTTCTTTCAATGTTGTTCCTCTTCCGTTTCCTCCACCACAGCTGCCACCATTAGTTGTCTCAATCACAGCAGAGAAGTTTCTGATACTTTATTTCAACTAGAAAGTCTAATTTTGAACATGGTTTTTTTGTAGTCGCTATGCTTAAACCAATAAACCTCTTGATACTTTCGTTATCTTCGAAAGAGCTTTTGATTCTGTTAAGGATTCAATGAAGCATACTATCTCAACAGTGATAGGTTTGCTTCCATCTGATCATTTCTCTCTTACTATTAGGATTTCGAAGCATCCTCCATATCATATCCTCATCTTTGTGATTATTACAGCATAAATTATTAATTTCTTTGAAATTATGGATTTTGATCGGTGGATTTGATTAGATTTTGATTGATGGAGAGTTTAAAGAAATCAAATTGTGAAAAATAGAAAGAGGGGTGAGTGAAGAAAACGAGAGTAGAGTTGGTGAGATTAGTGTTCAAGATTTAGAGATTAGTCCTCAGGTTTTTGGGCGATATGCAACCGAAAACTTGTCCCTGTGAAGAAAACGAGTGTAATATACTCTTGGATTTCGTACTTATATTTCATAGCAATTGCGAGAAAAATAAAAAATATTCACACTCATGTGCTCGTTGATTTCATCCTGTCTAGTGCCCTCTTCAATGAAAAACTAAGTTGTCCATAAGGAATAATGAAGGAGCCAACCTTTCGGTTTATGGAAGAACCGCGAAAATAGCTTAAAGATGGTTTCAAAAGACATTACACTCTTCAGTCGTGCATGTTTCTCAAATCCCATTTTCTAACGAGTCTGGTTGTGTTATTATTATAAAAGATAAAATCCAGAAGACCATAAGATCACTTTGAAAATTTTCTAGCAAAAAAGTTCAAAAGACAATTTATATATTCGGAGTTTTCTTGATTTAGGGACAACTTTTCAAATTTCAATTTTTCTTTTTAAAATTTTAATTTTATTCTTAAAAGAAATACACATTTAAAACATTTACATGTTAACCCAAGTTTAAAATTTACTGTTTATTTTTATTTTTATTTTTAAAACACAATATTTAGAGCCTGATTCCCTTTTTAGCCCTCCGCGCTGCTGCTATCAACGTAATAAAATAGCACAGGTATCAAAATCCTTTGAATATTACTCGCGACAAAATATTCTAGAGAGTAACTACTTTACTTTTGACGTGGCAAATGGGAAAAATAATTTTAGATAGTTTATGATCCATCCCCATCTAGTTGCTGCTTTGTCATACGTTGGCTTCTTGGTATTGTTCAAAAAGAGACGCAATAGTATCATATACCTATGTCCTAATTTACTTTTCAAACCTTTGAATTCAATAAAGAGACGAACAAAGAACATGAGCAAAGAAACACCCACATCTTTTCTTTCTGCTTTTCTCTTCTTTTAATGGCTGGGTTAATGTTTTCTTTTCCTGAAAAAAAAAAAAAAAAAAAAAAAAAAAAAAAAAATTCTCTTAATTTTTATGGCTGGTTAATGTTTTTCTTCTCCTTCGAAAAAAAAAAAAAAAAAAAAAACAAAAAAAAAGGAAAAGCAAACATGGCATTCTGAACTGAATGAATGTGAAAGAAAAAGACTCATTAGTCTTCTCTTTTCTTCCTTTTGCTGAGCCCTGCGCAAAACCAATCCTGTTCAATTTTGAAAATTGCCATTCATTACCTTTTTGCTTTAAAAAAAAAAAAAAAAAAAAAAAAAAAAAAAAGAAAGCAAACATGGCATTTGACTGAATGAATGTGAAAGAAAAAGACTCATTATCTTCTCTTTTCTTCCTTGCTGAGCCTGCAAACCATCTGTTCAATTTTTGAAAATTGCATTCATCCTTTTTGCTTTTGACTGTACATTTTGTTACTTCAATCCCTCCCTTCTTTGAACTCTGCAGAACCATTTCTCTACTTTCTGCAATCTGCTTCATCTCTGTTCTCACAACAAAACAAACAAATTGTTGTGACTACATTCCATTTACATACATAAGTTTAATATATAAAAAGCTCACTTTATTTTCCCCCCACAGTTACCATGGTTGTTCTTAATAACTCAGCCATCAAACCAGCCTGATCACATGGATGCATCATAAACATCATATTCACGACCGCGCCAAACTCACACGTCTGCCACCCTGCTTTCTTTCCGTGTTGGTGTTATCCAGACTTCTGTTGTGATTGTAAACAATTGACCAGATTTTCATTTTTTACTCCCATCATGATTCCTGATTACTTGTCCTCTATAAATATTCTGTGTATGAAATCCCGGAACCTTTTTGAATATAGCTTTGGATCAACAGCAGAGATGGATGTGGCATCCACTTGCAAGGATTTGTATGCATGCTCTAGTTTTTTGCTGATATCATAATCTTGAAGGATGTCAATGATGCCGAAGTACAGAATCACATCAGATATCTCCCCAATGCCTTTTGGAAGTGTTGAATTGATACTTCCACCACCTGCATATTGATCTGACTCTATCCTGTGCACTCGTTCTGCTCTTGCAGGCACGTTTGCCCCAAGCCGGATAAATGGGCCCCTACAAAATCAATGCCAGAACAAAGTGAGCTAGATTTCAAATTCAATATATGCATTGCATGAATGTCAAGATCATAAAACTTAAAATCCCACAGCAAGATCCTGAAAAACCGAAATGATAAAATTACTAAACCAATATAGTACACAATGATTTGGACAATCATCAAAAAGTGCCCACTGATAGTGGAGGTTATTATTATAATTATTTGCATCTTTTTCCTCAAATTTGCCATTTTGAGGATAGGCAATAAATATTTCTTTTTCTTTTAAATTCTGGCTTCAAAGTCATCATTCTCAGAGTTATACTCAAATGACCATCTGCACCTTAGATGTAATATCATTTGACCGAACAAAATATTTTAAATGCTTCAGTTGTCAGTCACAACACCACAGACATTATCTATTTCTTTATTGCTTTGGAAGGAGAGAAATTGGACTAAACAAAGCTTTATTCTGATAAAAAATGGAAAGGAGACCCCATCTACACATATTGTATATGCACTACCCCCAATTTCAACATGACAGCTCAGTCTCTTTTGAGTCATTCCAACAATCAAATATTAAAACAAATGAAGAAACCACCAAATCTACCTGGAAACACAAAGATCAAATATAAAAAATAAAAAATAAAAAAAGAAAAATGACTCAAACGAAACTTATAGCTTCACTTAGGAATTGGATTTGTATGTTCCTGGGTCTATAGGTGCAGACATGATGACATTAAAGCATACTACTTTGCTTATAGAAACAAAGTCTTTGGTCCATTACCAACTAAAGTTAAAAATATATCACTAGATGGGCCCAACATTTAGTCTTTTGATGGCAACAAAAGGAGACAAAAATGAAAGATAGTATCTTCTTGTTTTTTGACATGCCCAACCTCCCACAAATCCCATAAAAATTTAGACAACAAAATTGGAATGCATCTTGAGTTATCCAGAATATTCAGGCTAATTTCTGCAACAATAATCTCTAATATTTAGACCATTCATTTTTCTAAATATTATTCCATGGCCACCACTTCATATGCATGAACATATTGCCCATTGCCCAAACTCCATATTCCATTTGTATCTTAATTGAACGAGCATGGGAAATGTCTATACAACTAATGAGACAAAAAATATAAAATAATCAGTTTTGACTTTAGAAAAGTACACATACCGGCCTTCCATTACCCAATCCATATCTGGCAGCAAGTGATAGCCTCGCATGAAGGTTTTATCATGACGTGTATTTTCCTTTTCTGGTAAAGGTTCACATCAGGACATTAGCTTATGCTCTACCAATTCCTCTAGAGTTCTTTCTTAAATCTTAAATTTAACAAGCATCAAATCAGTAAGGAAACTTACCAAAACACATGTCATTAGGCGACATCTTCATATCACTACTTGAGTGATCATCATGGAAATGAAGACCAATTAAAAGACTGTAATCCATTATCCCTTCAGCTTCCAAGAACTCGCAGTCTCTGTATATTTGCCTGAAACATAACATATTGTATGACAAATTTCCGAACAATTAAAAATTAGACTCTCACAAGAGAACAAAAAAAAAAAAGTACAGCCGTCCAGGATCAAGAAAGGACTAGAACCATTTTGTTGGATTTACCTGATTAGTTCTTGATACCATGAACGTTCAAGGCGGAACACAAAATCAAGATCCAGGTCTTTAAGTGTGGTTGTCTCATCAATTTCTCTCGGGGCCTTATCAGTTGCACGACCATAAGAAGATCCTTTCAGGTCAAAGCGTCTATGGATGCGGTACTCAGAACAAAACAAATTGCCCATAACAATAAAACGGGTCTGATTACAAGTTGCATTATAAACAATGATCAGATTTTGGCATGCGTTCGGCAAATAAAGCTTTGGAATAAAACAGCCAAACCTACCTTTTGACCTCCAACTGGTTTCACACAATGCACACCAAAGAACTTTGTTACCAAGGAATTCTTGTACTGGCAAACATGTCGGTAGTAACTTGGAAGCATCCTATTGAGAACCTGAACATGTTACCAATGGCTGGTCATGGTCAATTCATAAACTGGATAACAATTATATGCCAAAAGTATGTGTCCAAGATATTAAAACTGGTACCAAGATGATGGAACTAAATCAGTTATTTGAAAATTTAAAACTGGAGTAACAAGCAATTTCCTAGTTTATAGAGTATTAATTCCTGTGGCTATATGATAGATACAGAAGTCAGAAAGTACGGCTAACTGACCTTGACTTCAGATTTCTTCACAGTCTTTATCATAAAACGATCATCTTGAGTAAGGTAAAAGAAGCTTCCACTCTTTCCAGGGGAAGAAAATTCCCTAAGCGCATCATTTCCACAAATAGCAACCATGTAATCCGCCGGATCTATTGCAAACAATTCCCTCAAATGTCTAAATAACAAACAAAACCAATCACCACCGCAACTTATAAGATCGGACATACATTAAAGCCCTCACTTCTTCGACACTAAAAAAACTTCGTTTTCTTTGATTCAAAAACAAAACCAGAACAAAAATGAAGCTAATACCTGAACACCATGGGACAGTAATCCTTCCATTTGAAGTCCACAGACTGATGTGGTGGCGTAAACTTTGATCCTTCTGGCGGAAACCTTGTCCAGTACTTCTCCTTAGGATCAAAATCACTTTGCCTTAATTCTCGCATTAACAAGTCATGCTTCCCAACAGAATACCTACACAGGAAGATACACTTCTACTTAATTTGAATCAATAAATTCTAAAAAAAAAAATTTGATTTAGCACTCCCAATTTTTGAATCATATAAAAACACCTGATACCCAATTGAAGATTAAGCATCAAATCATAATTCTTATGCCCTTTCGAAATCGTTTGCCCTGGCTTCTTGAAATCCCCGTCAGAAGAGCTGCAAGGGCTTCTCTGGCACTGTCCAGTGTCAACTATTCTGCCATTATCACTCTCCTTACAATTACCATCACCATTTTTACTACTATTATCAAATGACATGGAAGCCTCCACATTATCAACAATATCACAAGTAATATCTCCAGCCTCCCCATCCAATTCCCATATACAAATCCTTGGAAAATTCGCATCAACAGACAATCTCTTCCTGGGCTCCTCCTTGTAAATTCTATCGTATCTGTTATTCCCATTAGCAAAAGTGAAAACCCCTTTACCCTTTGGTACACCGTTGTCCCATTGACCTTCATACCTATTCCCATTGGCCCAAAGCAAAACGCCCTTCCCATGGATCACCCCATGCCTCCACTCGCCCGCGTATTCGTTCCCATTGCTCCACCTGTACTTCCCCTCACCATGCTGTAAGTTGAACTTCCACCACCCTACATACACATCGCCATTGGCGTATCGCTTCTCGCCGAAGCCATGCTTTCGGTCGGACAACCACTGGCCTTTATAAGAATCACCTTCGATGCCGATGAATGTGCCATAGCCCTCCATACGACCGTCTTTGAATTGGCCCTCGTATGTGGCTCCTGATGGCCACGAGAACTTACCCTTGCCGTAGGCTCTGCCTCTGTTCCACTGTCCTTCGTACATACACCCATCCGACCACAGGTACTTCCCTTTCCCGTGAGGCAAACTTCCAGTCAAGGTCCCAGTGTATATGTCTCCGTTCGGTAGCACCTTTTCAGAAACAACGACAACGGTTTCGCTGAGCGTGGGAGTCACGCGCCGGCAGCTGGGCTGCGATCTTGGGCGAGTGGCCACCAAGTGACAAGGAGGTGGGACAAGGAGTTGGATTTGTTTGTCTTCTTTATCGGCGTCGACGACGGCAGCAGCAATTGTTGGAGGCTGTAAGATACAAAGCAGCGTCTCTTGCATTTGGCGATTTTCGGTTTTGTATTGTGGTGTTTGATTACATTATGAAGGGTTGTTTAGCGCTTTGGAGAATGGGAAGAAAGAATCCAGCAAACAGTACAGAAGCAGAAAAAGAAGAATCACGACGGAGAGACTGACAGAGAGAAGAATGAGAGGGAAAGCAATACTGCTACATCAGAAATATTGTTAATTCGACAAAGGACAGCTTTGTCTAAGGAATGCTTTCCTCAATGACCAACATGCCCTCGCGTTTTTGCAATATGGCACTTCCTCCAACCCCGAGTATAATTAATAATATTTCTTCTTGAAAAACTTTATATTATAACTGGACGAAGGCTTGCCGTTAGGGGTGGCCACGGTTCCGGAACCGGCGGTTCCGGTTCCGGAACAGCCGGTTCCGGTTCCAAAAAAACTGGAACCGGAACCGGCCACGGTTCCGGAACGGGCGTTACCGGTTCCGGAACAGCCGGTTCGGTTCCAAAAAAAACTGGAACGGAACCGAACCGAAAAGGTCCGGTTCCGGTTCCGTTGGAACCGGACGGTGTCCGGTTGCCGGTATACGGTTTCCGGTCCGGTGACAGACACGACGGTTCCGATCGATGTTCTCGGCGATCGCGATAAATTTTAAATTTTTAAATTTTTGTAAGACCGTGTTTTCAAAATTTAGTAAAATTTGTGAAAGTTATTGTAAAAAAAATACACCTAAAAAATTAAAAAATTCTACAATTAAATTTATTTTTTTAAAGACTTGAATATAATTATTTTTTACAAAAAAATTCTTCCACTGAAATTATTTTTTGTTTAAAAAAGTTTGAATATAATTTAAAAAAATATTGTAGAGAGAGTAAGTAGAGAGAGTAGAGATTTTTTTATAATGAATTTGTAAATGAAATGAGGTATTTATAATAAATTCAAAAAATTAATTTTTCAAAAATACCCTTGAAACTAGCCGTTATATAGCCGTTTATAGCTATTGGGAGGAATAATTAATAGATTTCACAATAAAATAATTTTTCCTAAAAATACCGCTTGAAACTAGCCGTCTATGGTAGCCGTTTATAGTGTGGGAGGGGGTAATTAAACCAGATTTCACAACAAAATTCCTTTAAAAAAAAAAAAACACAACGTTCAAACGCAAATAAATTATTAAGGAAATACTGTATTTATTTTTTTTTTATTTCATTTTTCTTGTGTCCCTTTGTAGGGCCGAGGGTTTAAATAATTTTGCAGGATGCTTTTGTGTCAAGGTTGGGGTGTAAAAGACGAGTTGCTGTGGGGTATTCTTTTCCGCTTCTAAATCTCTTTTTTTTTCTATTTTTTATTTCTTTTGGTTTGGGTTACCAGTTTTTGGCTAGAACCGCCGGTTCCGAACCGTCTTTCGAAACCGGCGGTTTCCAACCGTCCGGGAACCGGGTCTCCCCGGTTCCGACCGGCTTTTCTTGACACCGCGGTTCTGGTTCCAGCAAAATCTGGAGATGCGGAACCAAAGAGAACACTTTCGCTTATGGTTTCACGCGTTCCGGTTCTTCACGTTCCGGTTACGCGTTCGCGGAAACCGGTTTCGAACCGAGGGCCCGGTTCCGGTTCTCACCGGTTCCGGTTACGGTTCGGGACCGGTTCGAACCGACGGTTCCGGTTCCCCGAACCGTAATTTGGCCACCCCTACTTGCCGTTACTCTAATGATTAATAATTTATAATTTATAAACCATCTATATTTATATATAAATTATATTTAATATATTATAAATTTTATTTTCTTCTTTATTAAATTCTAATGTTATATAAAAATTGTAGTGCCATTAATTTTTTTAAGATAATTATAAACTTTAATTAATCCTAACTAAATTATAATTAGAGTTTATAATCAAACAGGTTGAATATTGTTTCTTATCCTAAATAATTTTAGGCAGATAAAATATTATAATTCAAATAATTCAGTATGGATAATATGTGGCAAAATATTTTTTATAATTTTAATTATTTATTATTTAATAGTAAAATATAATTAATTATTATATTAAATATTAATTTTAAATTAAAATAAAAGTCCAATCAAAACATAGAAAAATTTATTTTTTCATAAAAAATACATCAATTACAATTATATAGTAAAAAAATACATTGATTACAATCATATACTAATTTTTTTTTTTTTTTGACATTACAATCATATACTAATTATTTGTATTGATGTGAAGTATAATATTTGGATTTTCATCCCACATCTCTAGTTTAAGTAACACTACCGAGTTCACTTTCCTCTTCATGAATGGTAATTCCTAGACAAAAATATAAATTTAATTAAATTTTGTGATCATATATGAAACTACATTTATAAGATTAGCAATAATGAATTGATAGTTTAGAGTTCATATAAAAAAAAAATCCTTAGAAGAGAGAAACTAATAACCTTTCAATCGTTAAATATTTGCTTCTAGAATATTGTTTATTTAATATCTATGCAAATTTTGAAAAATTATATGTCACACTCTAAAATATTATTTATACTTTACCTATGCAAATTGTTGTTCATAGCAATTTTGGGCGATTACCTCTATATAAAACGTTGATCATGAGAAAAAAAGACCAAAGTTTAAAAGAGAACTTAAAAATAAAATCTAGTTTCTTATTTAGAATTCAAAGAAAGGAAAGAAAGAAAAAAAAAAAAAAAGCAAAAGAAAACTTAATTGAGAATGATTCAAGATTCATGTTTCATTTTTAGCAAGGACCAAGCTCGTAGGGAGCTTTTTATGTTCCACTTTTCTGGAGCCAAGAACAACCCAAAAATCATTATTTTCCATCAAATAATTAAGTTTTTAATTAAATTTTGTTATTAATCCTCTTATTTACTCTTAATTCCTCTTTATTTAATCGCAAAGTCTAAAAATAAAATAATAAAAAGCATGAATTAAGTTTGAAATAAAAGTCCTATTTTAACTGCAAATTCATAACAGAAGTATCCAAAAAAAACATTTTCATGTTGAAAATCATTAAAGTGTAACTTAAGTTCTCCCAAACTCTTCATAGTTGAATCTGGATGAAAATAATGAGCGAAATACACTAAAGCACATTCCTTGATTTGTCAGCATGGTTTGTTGCACAATACAGGAATCCTTCTGTACATGATGCCTGTAAAAATAGAAGTTTGGAGTAAATAAAAACTATCATACGAGAACAATAGAAGGAGAGAGCAAGTAGAAGGCCTAGATACAAAACATAATAAACATAAAAATTAAGATTCAACAAAAGGAAAGTATATTGCTGATAAGATTAAATTTAAAAAATGTTGGTTATTATCATAAAATATTATTTAAAAAATATTTTAAAGGCCAATCAAATTGTAGAAACAGTTTTAAAAATGTTGACTATTATCATAAAATATTAATTTTAAAAATATTTTGATGACCAATCAAATTTTAGAAACAAAGAAAAAATCATAGTAAAAAAAAAGTCTAAAAATAGTTTTTTAAAAAATAGAATACTGAAAAAACAAAGCATCATGTCAGCATTTTTTAAATATTTTTTTACTTCAGGAATATTTTTTTAAAAAATAGAAATAACTGAAAAAAACAAAGCGATGCAATTGTCAGCATTTTTGTTAAATTATTTTTTTAGCTTCAAGGAATATATTATATATATTATAGTATAATTATATATATATAGGTATGTTTATATAGTATATATATTATATATATATATTATACTATATATATATAATAGTATACTATAATATACCTATATACTATAATTTAATAAGGGAGTAAGTATATATTATAAGGGAGTAGTCTCAATTTGCTGTATGAATTCTGAGTGTTGTATACAATTTGTTTAAAAAATCAAAATTTATATAATTTTCACTCTAATCTATATATTTATATGAAAGCTGAACCAAAGAGAAGATTCAAAGATTCTTCTCACTATTGCATTTTTTTTTTTAATTTTTAGAATTGTTTTATTTTTCTACAATTCGATTGGATGTATATTTTCTAAAAGTTAATTTTTAAAATTTTTTAAATAGATACATTGATATTTAGGCATTTAAAAATTTTTAAATTTAATTTTTATCAAGATAAATACTAACTATAAAAATGTTAATTTGAATACAATACAAATTCTTTTCTAATCCAACTTATTTATATAAATCCTGATTGATTGAGCTAAACTCATGTTGGATTATGAAAGTAGTATGTGGAGTAATTTTGGACCCTGTTGTATTTTTTTGTGGTTATGTTTTTTTTTTTTTTTTTTTTTTTTTTTTTTTTTGGAGTATTAGATAAATATGTTGTTTATTGTTTTTTTTTTTTTTTATGATTCTTCATTCTAGATACCATTGTATTATATCAGGATTAGATGATTGATTGAATTAGTTTAATCTTTTAGTTTCTTTTTTCTTTAAAAAGAAAAGCTTAGATCTAAAAGCTCTTCAATAAACTCGAGTAGTTCGAAAGGGTTTTCAGGTTTAATGTGCTTTGGAAGGTCAAGCAGCTTAGATGAGAGCTTTCAAAATAGTGGATGAAGACAAATTGATTCTGGAACTATGAATATGGAGAGTAGATGATACGGATTCACTACCACCAACCACCTATGGAGCTCAAGGGAACAAGGACCACAACAATGGCAATCCATTAGCACTTCCTAATGGACATATTACAAGGAGTCGTGCAAAGAAGTATAGAGCAACCATGTCCTTACACATTCAAGAACAAATTACAAAAGAGCTCCATGACCTTGCTTTCAACAAGTGCTATGAAGAACTTGAGCAAGGGAACAAGGACCCCACAACAATGGCATCCATTTTAGCAACTTCCTAATGGGTCATATTACAAGGGAACGTCGTGCAAAGAAGTAATATGACAACCATGTCCTTACTAACATTCTAAGAAACAAATTACAGAATAAAGCAGCTCCATGACCTTGCTTTCACAAGTGCCTATGTAAGAACTATGAAGGAACCACCTAAATTATCTCACACATTAATAGAAGCACATGTTGAATGGGGAACAATGAGATTGGGATTAGCCCCGGCCCGTGCTAAGCGATGGCGAACACCGTCATGCCCAGGTCTCAGCCAGTGGAGCACTGCCCTCTAGACCGCTTCATAAGCATCACGATAGAGGAGAATAACAACTACATTGAAAGCACCCCCGTGCCAACATCAGCACCCAGGCCGTGCTCTCCCTCTGACTCCTCATGAGGGAACCTCCTCACATTGAAGCACGCCCGTCGCAAACTAGCACATACACCCAGGC